AAGCATGCACAGTCGATCAGAGTACACAAAATTGTAATCATTAACTGTTCATTTTAATACACCATCAGACATCAGCAATACAGTTATCTCAGCTATTCATATATATATATATATATATATATATATATATTTATATTTTGCATTCCTTCTTTCTTTTTCTTCTTTAAAAAGGGAGGTCTTTCCTCCAGATGCAAGAATTCATCCGACTCTGGATGAACACCAGGTACAGCTGGAGGAAAATGCTTGTGGCTGGGAGGTGGGAGGATCAAGTCTCACCAGTAGGGTGAAGGGATACTGCCTTAGGGACAAAGGAGTGCCATTATCAGGGAACAGGGGACAGAGTGATGCTGGGCAGACAGAGTAAAAAAATTCAAAGTATTCACGCCATAGGAAGACCTTGACTTTTTCCTCATTGTGTCTTAGCTAATCAGTGTGGTTGTGAACACCCTGATGAGGTGTGTAGGGGCTATCTCTCTATTTGGAGATTGTCTGGGGAAAATGAGAACAGAAAGGAAGCAAAAGAGATTTATAAATTAGAAATATTATTACTGTGTACAGAATATAAGGAGACTGGGTAAAATTAAACTTTATATTCAGTGTTATTCTCCTCACTGTGATTGTCCCTCAGATGCCTGGTAAGTACACAAAGTGTGACAACAACTCTACTTAGGCCAGTAGGCAGTCAGATGTATTATGCTTGTTTAGGTCACAGTGTTTATATGAGTTCTTTTGAAATTTATCATTTATTCTATAAGCATTGTGGTAAATTGTTGTAGCAGCTGAGTTAGAAATATTATAGGCAAGCAGACAGGGCCAGGTCCTCGAAGGAGCCAGTATGGAAGACAAGATACCTTGCAAATGGAAAGATCACTTGCTATGGGTCAGATTTCAAAACAAAAGATTAAACAAACACAGTCACATACCTCCCTAGGGATGGACCTCAGGAATTGATATTCTGAAGAGTCATTGACCCAGCCCCCTACAGGAAAAACCCCTGTTCTGTATTCATGCTCACTTGCTACATGACTTGCTCCCCGTAGTTTTGTCCCGCCTCATGCTCACCTTGTGATTTCTCATCCTCCCCCCAAACCTTGGACCTGCCCGCCTCATGATTTTGCTGTATAAAATCCCTGGAAAATACAGGTTCCATGGGCAACCCATTCGGGTCCCCTTCTGTCTCTCTCTCGGACAGAAGCGTTCTTTCCCTCAATAAGTATATTCTGCTCTTAACCTCCGTTTTCCCTAAAATTCATTCCTCTATTTTAGAGAGCACAAACTCACCCCAGATATCATTCAGGATGGGAGTTTTTCTCCCCTGTATTTAATTAACATGATGAGTAGTTACCACAGCAATTGATTTCCCATAAAATAGGGAAGGGAACAGTATTCCAACTTAATTAGAAGATGCAAGGATATAATTTATGTAATGTTTATAATTGGTTGAAATAGGTTACCCATTAATGTTATAATGTTAAGTTTAATAGAAGTAGGAAGACTCTTGATCTTTTTATTCCCTAGATTATAACCAATTAATATAAACTAGTTGAGCAGTTAAGATTAGATAAGATCATAGCTACTGACCCCCACCCCCTGCGTCGTTCCACACGTTCATGTCCATGTTGTTCATGTTGTCAGGTGTCCCTGTACTAAGACAGTGGGTACTGAATCGCAGCAAAAGTCAGGTTTAGTACTTTGATTGCATTCATCGATCTGGATGGTTCTCTGTAAAGATACTGAGTGTAGCAGTTGGTCAGAGTGGATTAGAAGCCTCTTCTTTCTTTCCTCTTAAGGAACAGATCACCCCTCGCCCTGCTATCCTGTGAACAGCAGCACTGGCATGTGTAAGAAACAGCTGGCACAACCTGCACATACAACGGAAACCCACAGGCTTTGAGCTGTTGAACTTGGCTTCATTTCTTCAGGTAAATCCAGTAATCTTTATATCCTTATCCTTCCCCCCACCGTTCCATAGTATAAAATTGTTTAAATGAAACCTGACTATTGGCTCGGGTTGTAGCTCAGTGGCACAAGCGCCTGCCTGGCAAGTGCAAGATCCTGAGTTCAATTCCCAGTACCAGGCACACACAAAAAAAGAAAACTGACTACTAAGGAGTCCTATAGGTACTTGAGGGAGAATCCATTATGGGTGGAAACGAGTGTGGACTTTGGTGTCCACCTGGTGTTAAAATCTCAAAAGTGACGTTTACTATCTGTCTTGAAGTTGGGAAAGTCATTTAAATACTCGCTCTGTTTCCTCATCTGTAAAATGTGGATGATAACAGGCAACAGGACTGGTGCTTGATGCAAGTTTGGAGATATTTATTGTCCATCAGCTACAAGCATGTACTCGCTATCTCTCACTGCATTGCAAATAACCTCAAAACATAGCAGCTTAAAAACCGCAAACATTGTTTAATTTCATGGTTTCCTTATGTCAAGAATCCGAGTGCGCGTTAGCTGAAAATCCCCGGCTCAGGATATATTACAAATCTGCGCAATATGCCATGCAAAATGTACTGATATGGGTGTGCAAATGGACAGGTGTGATCTTTGGGGAGCACTTTCCCGGATGAAGACTCCCAGTACCGAGTGTCTGCTATAGCTGGGTCAAGTTGGGAAGGTACCCAGATAGATGATTTGATCGTTGTTCACCTGAAGGCTCAGTTCTCAGCCTGGTCTCATTTAAATTTTTATCAGTGACTTAGGTAATGGTATAAAATAATAATCTTTAATTATCCTTGATGATGCATCTTGAAAAACTTTTAAGCATTTGCCTCTGTGTATGTTTATACGTGACACACAGCTACCAGTGTTCTCTATTAACTAATAAAGCTTGATTTCTTACTTGCTTTACACAAAAATTACAAATAGAAGTTCTCTTTCTTTTGGCCTGAGCCCCAAAGGACTGTCTTATATACAATCTGGGTGTGTGCATCCTATTGGCAGAGACAAGGGCTGAGAGATGGGGATTGTGGTTCATGTCAGAGTCAGAATTCAAACAATGTACCTAATATCAGGGGTAAATAATGACGCTCTTCTCATTTCCACCTCTTGTAACAGTGCACAAGTTAGACAACCGTGCATGGCGGACCTGTGGCTTCCCAGTAGCAGAAAGACTCTATGAGTTTCAAGAAAATTGATTTAGCTGAGTGTGGTGGCACATGCCTGTAATCCCGGCATTCTGGAGGCTGAGGCAGGAGGATCGCTGAGAGTTCAAGGCCAGCCTGAAATATATAGCAATACCCTGTTTCAAAAAAAGGAAAAAGAAAATTGATTTAACTCAGTGCAAGGAACAAGCAAGTTAAGTAAGTAGAGGACCCAAGTCCCAGGAAAAAGACTAAATAAGCATTTTTAGAAATGTATCACAAGCTGGGCGTGATGGTGCATGCCTGTAATCCCAGCACTAGGGAGATTGAGGCAGGTGGATCACTGTGAGTTTGAGGTCAGCCTGGACTACATAGCAAGACTTGGTTTAAAAAAAAAAAACAACAACACGAAAAGAAATGGAACCACACCCTAGGCCAAGACATTGAGATTGACGTGATGCCATCAACATTTGATATTCATATTTTCTTTCCTTTTGAGTGTGGTCTGGGTAAATGACACCATTCTAAGGAACAAGATATGGCACAATACGTATGACTAGATCATAAAATGCACTTAAAAATGGCTGCTTCCTTACTGTCTTTCTAGGAGTACGCCCTCTGGAGGAAGGCACCTGCCACCCTGCGGTGACACATGGAGAGGTCCTTGTAATGCAGCAGAAAGGCCTCTTGGTAACAGCCATATGCATGGGTCATCTTGGCAGCAGATCCTTTAGCCTCCATCAAACCTTCAGATAGCCCAACCTCATGAGAGCCAGACAACCTACATGAGCTGCTCCTGGGTCCTTGACCCACAGAAACTATGATAGGCAACAGATTTTGGCAAAGAACAGCTCCAAGTAATATCCAACCTACTGTCTGTTTTCTATAAATAAAGTTTTGTTGAAACACAGCCATGTCCATTGATTTACGTATTGTTTCTGGCTGCTTTTCCACTGCAACAGCAGAGTTGAGTATTTGTGACAGACACCACAAAGCTAGAGATATTTATTGTTTGGCTGTGTCTTACAGAAAGTGTGCCCATTATTGGTGTAAGAAGCTAATTTCTAGAGTTGTGTGTGTCTTTGTGTACTCATAGCAATAGATATATAACACAGAGGAACCTGGCAAAGGTTTCTAAGAGAGACGTACTAGAACAGACAGCGCTTTATGTTGACTTTGGCATATCTGGCCATGACCTGTAGAGTGAGACAGTGTTGTGTCCTGTGACTGGGACAGGAATTGGTGCAAGAGACAAAGTAGCACAACTCTGATAATGGAGCTTAAAGAACCAAAACTCCTAGCTCTGTGATGAAGTATTCAGGTCACTGACTCAATCTGTCCTAAAGTTACCCTACTTCAGCCCCTTCCAAGGTACCCAAGATTGCAAACTTTGTCATTGTCTTAGTTCTTTAGGTTGGCATTTTGGTTATTTGCAGCTAACACTGTGTTAACTGTACAACTTTCTACTTGAAGAACGTAGCCCTGCCATGAAAATGAACCAGACTTTCTAAAAAAATCCCACATACTAATTTGTCAAGTCCATTGGGGAATGTATTAATGGAGCCTGGTACTTTGCAGGGTTTTGTAGCAAAACTTCAAACTGCTTCTACCTTGAATCGCTTTCCACTGGCCACAGCTGCCTCTTTTCCTCCAAATACATTTCAGTCATCCCAAGAAAAGGCCAAAACACTTGGGTTGGTGTGCACTGGATTGCTAGTGCCTCTCAGACCACTCACAATGCATTGGAATCTGTGGAGGAGAAAGGGTTCAAAAGTCACAGTTGATTGCTTGTGCCATCTGTGGTGCTTTCATGATGACCCTGAAATCAGTCCCTACTTTGATTAATAAGTCACCTAAAGAGTGTGCAGTGTACTGACCTGGTTACTGTGTCCACTCCTACTGGTAGCCTGGCACTGGCTAGGTGGGGCTTGGTCTTTGCATTTTTTGCTTCCTCTCTCTTCATTTTTTTTGGTTGGATATTCTTCCTGTTGCATAGGACATCTTCTGATTCCTTTTTTGGTAAGTGACTCCAAGATCCAGGGGTTATAGGTAGATTAAAAAAAAATCAAGGTGAAGAGGATATTTCTATCTATATTTCTAACTCTCTTAGAAATCTCTGCCAGACATTCCTGTATTAGGTTCCTACTGCTGTGTAACAAAAGGACCATCTTCTTTTCTCTCCTTGCTGGCTTTCTGACCCACTCAGTGTTTTTAATTCATGTTAAGAGTTCTTAACATCATAAATGCCTGCCATGGTGTTGCTTACTTTTTCCTTCTCCTTCTTGACACACATTTTCCTGCAAAACATTCTCATGTCCTGTACTGTAAGGCTCTGCTACTCAAAGTCTGGTCCTTGGGCCAGCAGCATCAGCATTATTCCAGACAAACCTTTAAAAATGAGAGCTTTCCCCCTCCTTGAGTTTCTTTTTCTTTTCCTTTCAGAATTATTTCCTATTTCTCCTCTTGGCAAGAAGAGCCCCTGCTTTCCAAGTAGAAAAAACCCATTTCCCACTTCTAAGTGCACTTAGGCTTAGAATGGCTTCTTCCCACTCCATAGTATGTCGTTTTCGTTGGTGATGGGCACACTAGTCATTGGACAATAAATCCTCCATCTAGGGGTAAGCTTTGCTGTTTTCAACTCTGCCTTGACCAAACTTACTCACTGATGTAAATTTGAGAACCTCCTTTGCTGAATCAGGGAAAGCTTGTCTGGATTAGAAAAGTCCCATGTAGAAACTTGACACTGTCCTGAGCAGGGAATATTTGGAATCACACACAGGAAAGGCTGGGTGTTTGTTGACTTGCCTAAGGGTAGAGTATGTGTGCACCGTCTCTAATTACAGCACTCCAGGAAGCCTCACCCTGAAGGTACGACTGCTATGAACCCAGCATGTTCTTCAGCTACTCGTCATTAGCTGAGTGGATATTTTCTTTCTTCACATACAATCTTCTCTGACTGGCCTCCTTCCTGCAGTCTTTAATGCTTGGCAACTCACTGGCCCCATACTCTGGGGCAAGAGGTCTAGGCTTACCTCTCACTCTACTCTCTCCAAGATATATTTAATAGTTCCATGTGAATAACTAATTCTTGGTGAAACCATTGGTTCCCTTCAAGGATCCCAAAAGAGAGCTGGAGAGCCACAAAAGAGGGTCTTCTTTGCTGAGAAGTATGTGTTTCCCAAGGAGAAGGAAGACAGTTTTCATTTTACCAGAACCCTTTGTTCCCACCCACCTGTCCAGCCCCAGTGGGACCTAATCGCTGATTAGACTCTGGACCAATCCTGACCTTGGTTTTCTGCAGCTCCAACATTGCAATAGAATTTGCCCTACTTTGTGGTGAAAGAAGATCTTTCCTTCTGAGTTTTCTCCTACATGTGTTCGCCTTTTCCTTCCCTACTTCCTGTCTCCCATGCCGTGGGAATTAATCCTCCACAGATCAGATTCTGCCCTTCATTCCCCGTGTCACTCCACTGAGCTCCCCAAGCTCTCACTGGACACTGAAATGGTGGGGACAAGGTCTTTATTCTCAGGAGGGAGGAGAAATGTCCTGCTTAGTTATTGAGTCATCCTTGCAAATTAATAATCCCAGTAACATGATTAATGACTTGAAGGACATTCAAGTGCTCTGCCACCCTTGTAGAAGGAACATTCATTGTTTCCCTAGAGAAGTGGAGTAGGAGCAGGAGATTCCAGGTAATGGGAATACACATCTGATGGAGACCACTATGAAGCAGACTTGAGCAGAACTTAAATTAATCAGTTGGCTTTTCACGTTCACTTGTGAATCTGTCCAAGTCCTGGGCTCCTTGTCTGGAAATGACTGACTCATAGTAAGTGAACCTCTGTGAGTCACTAATCCCTACTAAAACCTGTAGTGGTGGATGAAACCAGAAAGCCTCAAAGGGTAAGACAGGCTCACAGCCAAGGACACCTGGATCCAGTCTCAACTAGATAAAGACTATAGCCTCAGGCATCTCACTCCTGGATGGATTAGCTTAATACCTTATTTGAAGAAGTCCTTGAGTGAGTCTGCCCTTCTTGAGTATTCCCCTCCCTTCTTCTGGCAACCAAATAAATATGGGCCACACAGAGAAAGTCTTGGTCTTAGCCCTAAGAGAATCTTGAATTCTGTGAGAGGGCTCTGATCCTCTCGGAGCCCTGAAATCGTTCCATTTTCCTCTTTTTATTTAGCCTTCACTATACACTCATTCAGGAGATTGTGGACTTGATCAGCCTGAAATAACTAAGGAAAATTATTAACCCAATACACATTACATACAGAGGCATAAGTCCATGAAGCCACACAGGAAAGTCTTATGAGAAGCTCACTTAGATGGAATTTTTATGGGTCTTATCCTAGAAGGTCAGTGTGGAAGACCAGTGGGATGGAAAGACAGTGACATCCAAGAATGCTTTAGATCACCTTCTCATGCTGCACAGAATGGAGGGTGCATTCTGCCCAGAGTTGCTCCTGGGCTGGATGCAATGCAGACAGCCCTGGCTATTAAAGAGGGCTATGTGAAACCATTGCCATGCAAGACAGAAAAGAAAAATTCTCCTTCCTGTGGATTCCTTTCCCTAAAATATTGCTGAAGTAGCTCTAAAAAGACATGGTCTAGGCTGGCCTTGCCTGGTTCCCAGCCTTTCCTTATCTCAGTTGGAATTCCATGAACCTTCCAGTCTTCTTATACTCAGCTTGAGGACAAAGCCAGATAAGGAACCTCCATGCAAATTAGGGAAAGGTATCTTCTTCTGGGAAGCCAAAGGCTTGGTGAAGCTGAGGATGTTGTGAGTACACAAGGGGCGGAATCTATGAAGGAAAAGGAGCCATTTTCAGCAGGCAGAGGGAGACCAACAGGGGAACCAGAGCTCAGAGAACATTGCTGAGCTGGTTTTGGTCCTACCCACTCACTGAAACCCTGGCCAAAGAGCGTAAGGATCAGGCATGAAAAAATTGGCAATGTTGCAAAGTTTATGAGGTATAATTGACAAATACATTGACATTTTTAATTTAAAAATTTCTTACAGAAAAAGGCATATTGCCATTAATCTCCATCAAAATACTCCCTCTCACTTCAAAGGTACATCATTGTTCTTGCCACTTTAGGAAGCAGTTCTGGAAGTGCTGTTTTGTGAGTGTCTCTAGTTGTGCTGTCGTGCCTACCTGGATGTCTTAAAGTGATTCAAAATATTTACCTTTCATGGTCATTTTGACTTTGGGGAAGAGCCAGAAGCTGCACTGCACCAGATCTGGTGAATACAGTGGAGGAAGACACAGTTTCCTGTTTTCCTAGCCTGTCTTTCTTTTGGACAGTCCTTGGCCACAGCATTCACTTTATTTTTTATCACACCTTGTAAAAACATGAAAGAAAACTTCCAGAACTGCTTCAGAAAAAGGCAAGAATCATGGCATAAGTGTGTTGGAAGTGAGGGGAAGTCTTTTGAGGGAGATGAATACCAATGTATCTTTTTTTGTTATCTTTTTTGAGACAGGGTCTCCCTATGCAGTTCAGGCTGGACTTGAGCTCACTTTGTAGCCCAGGCTGGTCTCAAACTTGCAAAGATCCTCCTACCTCAGCCTCCTTAGTGCTGGGATTACAGGTGTGAGCCACCACGACCAGCTGTAATAACATTTATAATGTAAACATTCTCTGTATATTTGGTTCACACATTATGCAACTGAATCACTACTATGGCTGTTCTCCTGCCAGATGTCCCAGTCTGGGTCAGTTGGCTTTGGCTCTCTGTCCCAGACCAGTCTCTGTATTGTGCTGGTCCTTACCACACAATTGATGTCCCCAGACCTTGGGATGTGGCCGATGGTTGCAGGATGTCTCTGTATTGCTGTCTATCCCCGAGTCCTGTCCTGAGTATGTTCTACTCTGCCCGTCCTTAAAGCACAGCTTCCTGCCTTTCCATTTCCAGTTGCTTTGACCCCTGCTATTTAGGCTGTGACCCACTGGGGAGGAAAGAAGCTGGGCCCATGGAGGGCTTTTTGCTGAAGGCTAATAGGAAGAAGATGTGGCTGGCATTCAAAGTCTGCAGTGTATCAGACTCAGACTTACAAAAGAACTGGGAGAACCAATCCCTGTTGTTTCAGTAAGCGTCTCTCCTTGTCTGCTTGTCAGAGTGGCTGGAGCCAACTCAAAGGCTTTTGATATTGACTGCCAAATTATCCTCCAGAAATATTATACCAGCCGGAACCCCTACCAATAGCATATAAAAATGCACAATTCCCTGTACTCATACTAATACTGAATGTAAGCACTGAAGAATGGAATTTGAACTGCAGTCTCTTTATCAGTGCTGGGGTATGGTTGGATGCACCACTCACCTTCTGAATCTCAGTGTTCCAGCATGTCTAGTCAGCATCATGACCATGCTTCTTTTTGTGTATGTATGTATGTATGTATGTATGTATTTTTTCTCAGTACATGCTTGTAGTAATTACCGATCACACTCCTCTGGGAGTTAGTAGATGTACATAACACATCTTGTTTATTTTTTGACTTCCTTACCCTTCCCTTCTCTCACTCCGCTCTCCCTGCATCTCTTGATCCCCCTCCAATTTGCAAATGATCTCTCTCCCTGTTTCCTACCATCTATCTTTCATACTTACAGGGTTGGTGCCAACTCACAGCACTACGGAGAGTGCCAGCGAGAGAAAGTGTAAGCAGACGTTTTGTAAACCAACATAAGCATTGGTGTAATTCATCTTTTGCTTCAGTAGAACCAACTATAGAATGTATAGGAGGTTAAATGGAACAGTCAGACATAATTTCATAGTGTTCAGTCAACTCAAATGGTCTGAGAATTAGACTAAATGAAAAGCACATGAATGCTTTGGTAAGAGCCCCAGAATTCAACTCAAGTCTGCATTCAATTTAGGTTGGACCCAGACAAATTTTCTGATTTTAAGGACATAGCCCCAGAGTCCACGAATTTCTCTTTTTCATACCAGAATTATAGTCTTATTTGGATGCTTTGTATCTTCCTACTAGGTTGACATTCTTAACCTCCCTGGGTGCTACCTGAGAAACTTCCATCATTTCATTGCCAAAATTAGGTGACTGGGTAAGGTTGCCTGTTTCCTCTCCTTACTAAGCTTTCCCCACATCAGTACTTTCCTAGTAAAAGATTTCTAAGTGTGGACATAGGGAGGGGGCCAGGCAAGTATTAAGTGCTGTGAGTTCCAAAGAGAAAGGAATCCCATTATGTGTAACTAGACTAACATTTATGTGATGCTTCTTTTATGACTACTTAATTAATGCTGTTATTACTTTGGCCGCTAGTAATTAATTTAATTTTAATTAGCAACAGAAAAATGTTAGGTCTCTTTTTCCCCTTAAAATCAGAGAGAATTAAAAAATGTATTTGACCATGAAACTTTAAGAATCTCATAAGCCTGAGGAGTCTGGCAAAGATCCATCTATCTAAGTAGTGGGCTTTTCTCTTTGTAGATATTTGTTGACATAGTTATATGGATGGATTTTGACTGGCAGTTCTATAATACATTTCACTCTACTGAAATTCATTTCTTGATTTATAAGTCACATATCTAAATTGAATAGTACACTATTCCCCAGACATAGAATTGGTATAGTAATGATTTATGTCTCCAAGTAATAATTACTCTACATTTTTGGGTATATTTCAAATTACACAAACATTTATACCTCAAGCTGGCCTTAGGCAAAATGCTAAAAGCCCAGTAAGCTATCTTATACATATACCCTCATACTGTAGTTCTTATTTTTTATAGTATTGTCTCCTAGGAATGTGATTTCTGGGTCAAAGGCATGTGGGATTTTTATTCTAACTGATGTTATTTGATTGCTCTCCTGAAAGACATTAATTCTGCAATGCACCAATGTGTTTTCGCCTGTGGTCCTGTCAACAAGAGCTGCTATTTGTTTTTAAAAGGTTATCAGTGCAGTGATGTATAACACGCTATTATACTGTGTACTTAAATTGTGCATTCTTTTCTTTTGATGAACCTGAACATATTTTCACTTTTTTTCAAATCTTCTACAATTTGTACACATTTGCATTTTTACTATCTTCCACTACATTCTGGAGCAACCACACATTTTATTTTAAACACAAAATCAATCTATTTGCCATAAATAAAAAAGAACTATATTATCTTTGTTGGTTTGGGGCTTATTTTGCAAGGGGAGCAATATAATACAGGACACATATTTTATAAGATTATTTATAATAGTAACTCAAAGAATGATATACAAGAGAGTGCAGGAAGTCTGTCCACACACTAAGACCAAGGAAATCAGCCGAGGGCCTAGATCCCATGGAAATGTCCTGCATAAGTCCTGCTGAAGACCTAGAGCTCATAACAATGCCTCCCGTGAGTCCACCTGGAGGCCTAGAGCCCATTACAACATCTCATGCAGGCCTGTTTCATGGATCTGCACTGGGGAGGCCCAAAGGTCAGTGGTGGAATCTAGAAAGTCTGTGCCAGCGGAATGAAGGATCTGTGCTAGCAGGCTGAGGGATATGCACTGGAGCCAGGAAGCGATGCTCAGAAGAACCAGAGCTCCCCCGAAAGGTTCCAGAGCCTTCTTCAGCAACAGTGAGGTCCTGAGCTCCTCGGAGGATGAAAACAGCCAAGCTCATCAGGAAAGCCAGCATGACGGGCTCTGCCAAAACAACCAACAGCTCCCCACAGCTTCCACCAGCTCCCAACAGCCTTTCTTCTTCTCCAGGTCTGCCTTTTATGCTACTGGCAACAGACCCAGGTGGGCCTTCCACACCCAGCACCATGTTTCTCAGTTCAGCTGGGGGTTATGAATTGACCACCAGTTGTCAATCTACCACAGTATCTTAATAGACATTCATAGTTTTGACACTCTACACTTTGTACCACTTACCTTAATTACAAATTTTAACTAAAGTCATTCATTTTGAGTGTATTCTCTACTTTTTTCACTTTCTACAACTGCTATATTCAGATGTTGAGGAATAAGCTTTCTAACATTTTTGGTCTTTCTATTGCCCCATTTTCCATCTCTGTACCTTTTGATTCTATTTTCGGTTAGGTAGTTCCTAAAACCATATGTTCCATCTCTTCTATTGAATTTTGCATGTCTGAGTTCACGTTCTTAATTTCCATTTCTGTTTTCAAGTTATTAATTTTAAAGAACTTCTTACTATTCTCTGAATATTTCTCCTTTGTAATTATCCTTGTTTCCTGGATTCAGTATCTTCTCTTAAATAAGAACATATGCATTTTAATGAATATTGCTTCACTCTCCTCAGACTCTTTGATTTACTGTTTTGTCTTCCATTTTAGAAGTATCCGTTGAGACTTTGCTTTTGTTTAAGAGTGGGGAGCTGGGATGCCGCCTAGAAGTTCTGAGTGTTCTAGTGGACTTGTAGTCCGTCGAGTGATCCTTCTGTCTAGCTTTGTTGGGAACTTGCCCTTACTTCCTTGTCTAACTCTGTTTTATATTGCTATGATACAATGGAATACCTGAGCCTTGGGAATTCGTGAAGAACAGAAATTTATTGATTCATAGTTCTGCATGCTGGGATGTCCAAGACTAGGCTAGTGAGTGGGGCCTTGGTGCTTTGTGGAGAGAGATAGAGATAGAGAGAGAGAGAGAAGAAGAAGAAGAAGAAGAAGAAGAAGAAGAAGAAGAAGAAGAAGAAGAAGAAGAAGAAGAAGAAGAAGAAGAAGGAGAAGGAGAAGGAGAAGGA